TTTTTTTTTTTTTTTGGGGCGCCTGGGTGGCGCAGTCGGTTGAGCGTCCGACTTCAGCCAGGTCATGATCTCGCGGTCCATGAGTTCGAGCCCCGCGTCAGGCTCTGGGCTGATGGCTCAGAGCCTGGAGCCTGTTTCTGATTCTGTGTCTCCCTCTCTCTCTGCCCCTCCCCCGTTCATGCTCTGTCTCTCTCTGTCCCAAAAATAAATAAATGTTGAAAAAAAAATTAAAAAAAAAATTTTTTTAATTGTTACACGTAAATAAAAACATATTAATCTGGATTCAGTGGATCCTTTAAACTGGGGGTAGGGGTGCCTCATGGCTCAGTCAGTTAATCTTTATGATCAGGTCATGATCTCAGGGCTGGTGAGTGAGTTCGCATCAGCAGTGCTGACAGCTCAGAGCATGGAAACTGCTTCGGATTCTGTCTCCATCTCTCTCTGCCTCTCCTATGCTAATGTCTGTCTGTCTGTCTCTCTCAAATACAAATAAACATTTAAAAAATTTTTTAACTTGGAGTAAAACAAGAGGCCTTTAAGGGACAGAAGTACCCAGGTGTGCCACCTCGAGGGGCTCTCTTCTTTGCCTAAAGGCTTTACTTAAAAAAAAAGAAAAGTGGGCGCCTGGGTGGCGCAGTCGGTTAAGCGTCCGACTTCAGCCAGGTCACGATCTCGCAGTCCGCGAGTTCGAGCCCCGCGTCGGGCTCTGGGCTGATGGCTCAGAGCCTGGAGCCTGTTTCGGATTCTGTGTCTCCCTCTCTCTCTGCCCCTCCCCCGTTCATGCTCTGTCTCTCTCTGTCCCAAAAATAAATAAATGTTGAAAAAAAATTAAAAAAAAAAAAAAGAAAATTTTAACTTTTGTTTTCTTGTGTGTGTGTTTATTAAAAATAAGACCAACGGGGCGCCTGGGTGGCGCAGTCGGTTGGGCGTCCGACTTCAGCCAGGTCACGATCTCGCGGTCCGTGAGTTCGAGCCCCGCGTCAGGCTCTGGGCTGATGGCTCGGAGCCTGGAGCCTGTTTCCGATGCTGTGTCTCCCTCTCTCTCTGCCCCTCCCCCGTTCATGCTCTGTTCCTCTCTGTCCAAAAAAAAA